ATCTCCATCTTGGCGTTACGTTTATTATAACAGTGTCTCCATCTGAGTGTTACGTTTGTTTACTGTTACATCATCTCCATCTGAGCGTTACGTTTGTTTATTATTACAGTGTCTCCATTTTGGCGTTACGTTTGTTTATTATTACATCACCCCAATCTGAGGGTTACGTTTGTTTACTGTTACAGCGTCTCCACCTGATCTTGTAGAACTGACGCAGATGTATGACTTTCGCGAACACCTTTGCGATTTTCAGTTATCCAATCACAGAAGTGTTACCTCTATTTTGCCTCTTACGCCCGATGAATTTGTTTCGGTATTCAATGCCGTTGACATTGTATATTTATGTCTATACATCTACGTTAAAGCAACAAAAGAGATTGATGAACACGCACAATATTGCCATTTAGTATTAACATATGTGGTAAATAATGACGGTCTGAGGACTAAAATTGCTTTCCGGAAGTCGGTCTCGCTATGTTAAAAATGTGGGAATAATATTTCCGATGTCACTAAATCCCGAGTATACGTGTGGCTACATATCGTGGATAAGGTGTGACATTTGACTATGGTCATACGCTTCTGATACAAATCCACATTCCAATCTAATCCAACATTGGTCATTTTTAAGACAAGCCACATTTATTCGGACCCCAGGTATTGGGAAACCTCGCGTACCGGACGATATTTAGGTAAAACAAAATATATACTACATGTACATAAAATGCTTCTATCCGGAAATCCGGTTTCCGGATCCTGACAGTAAATTTCAAATACCAACAGTCCATATACACCACTGTACATTATACAGGCAATATAGGATATTTACTAATTTGACGCTCACCTTTTCGCGAACACAAGTATCATCACCATTTGATAGTGTTTCATAACCACATGGTCATGATATCGGAACCGTACACTCGATTCTGGTTTTAGCAGCGATTTTCCTGCATTATGGCAGGACATGCTTCCCTTTTCGCGAACATCACATCATTGATATTCACCGCCACTTTGCCTTTAACGCCCAATGGAGTCTGTCTCGGTGGATAATCGAGACTGGTTATTCTCTGGCCTTGATGTTTTATATTTATAAATATGGAAAGTGTCTTGTCGCTTTGATAAAATTGAGCGTATCCTGCCCCACTGATGACATCTGTCACAAACACATTCAAAGGCATGTCAATTGTTCACCTGAAAAAAAACACGGGATCAAGTAAAAATAGGGTATTGCGTCGGACATAATTTTGGTCACTATGAAACTTTATGGCAGCTTTGCCGAAGCCTTGAATGTTACATTCATAAAGCTTGCATACACTTTGGTCGTAGATTGCGTGTCAAGCAATAACTGAGTTTTGCCGTTCTGCAGTTGAAATGCTTGTGTAAACCTTCTACCGATTGTATCATAAAATGAGAGTATTGACATTTTTGCGAATATGGTATGATACACATCCCCTCTTGACAAACGCCATTTATCCACAGGACTACAATGTTTCGATTCGATTTTGCTATTTTAATTAGAGATTTTGATTGCATGTTAGCGTTTTCCCATTTACTACGACTATGAGTGCGTATGCCTCAGAGACTCTCAAAATCCCATCTCTGAGTGAGACATGAGACAATCATTATGTTGTCTATTCTGGGTTGTATCTTAAAATATCGGTATATGCAGTTTCAGGAAAATGTTTTTAAAATGAGCCAACCACCATTAGGACATTTTAAACACAATCGATTTCAAAACGACGTCATCGCTTTGTGTATGATCTATACCTCAGAACAATGGTATAACGATGAATGACCGCACAATGCACGGTAAAATAAGCAATCATCTTATATCGTTGGAAATAATGTCATCCCAAACAGAAACGCCCCCTCGTCATATTGTCATAGCTGTTTTAACAGTTTTTCTCTCATTCTTTGAAACTGCAATTTCACATTACTTACAATTATGTAGTATTCAGTGACGAAAATTATTTCAAACAGTAATACTGCAATTGGAAGTGGTTTTTTAATTTATGGAACACTACAAACACGAAAACGTCGTTTTTTCCTCCTTATGGCCCTTAGACGTATTTTCGATGGTTTTAAAACGACGCCCCATTGGATATTTGTCGCTGTCAATCAAGGTATTGCTCTTCTTTTTCGGGTAGGATCAGGTGGTAGGTTAGAGGCGCATGCGTGTTATAGTCTCAGATTCAACCAATCTCATTAGTCCTATTGCGGTTGACGTCAGACCGACCTTTCGCGGACTTTGACCGAACAATGAATTGACTGACAAGAAGTCGACATCAGCCAATCAGGAGGCAGCTTTCTCATGCTTTACGGCAATAGTTTCATAATGGCGATTACACTTTGAAATTCTGACAAATTCTCGATTAAAAAATTTGAAACCTAAACAAAGAAACTTTTTGGAATGGCTAAAAGATGGCCTAGATTGTATGAATTCAGTCCTAAAGACCGTAACTGTCGTTCGGAATACCCCTTCGAGGTTGCATGATTAGAAATCACATTCCGACTGTCACTTTCCTGATCTGGTAAGCGACGCTCTGATTGGTCGGATGAAAGGTCGCTCTGACGTAACCTGTAATGGGATGTCCTCAGATCTTTGTTTCGCGGTAGCGATACCTAAGACCTGCTTTTAATGAGATTGAGGTTCCATTAAAATATAGCCCACCTTCGTGGTCTGGTAGTAGAGCGTCTGCCCAGAGAGCGGAAGGTCGGAGGTTCGATTTCTGCCCGCGCCATACCAAAAGACCTTAAACGATGGTACTTGTTGTTACTCTGTCTAGCGCAGGACATTAAGGGGACAACACTAAGACAGGAGCGCCCGGGAGTCAGTATACTGTGTCTAAGCGGGGTATCCATGATAAAAGACCGAATTGGTATTCAGTGGGCTGGCACTATAAAACCGGCATTAGGACTAGTACTACACCACACACACACACACACACACACACACACACACACACACACACACACACACACACACACATACACACACGCACACACGCACACGCGCGCGCGCACGCGCACACACACACACACACACACACACACACACACACACACACACACACACACACACTGTGCACGCTTTGTAGTGAAGGTAACGTGGAAGGTGAAAACCACTTTTTGATGATTTGTGACCAATATAAAACACTGCGTGAGAAGTACATGTCTGATTTATCTACATCATAGCCTACACGTAACGAATTCAGTGTGCCTTTAGCATCAACGGACACTAATTAGGTGATACAGCTGGCTGTATATATTTACCATGCAAATTGCTTTCAGAGAGATCCATGTTGACTGTGATTATGTTTAATGTTATTCATATTATATGTCGACTAGCCACCTGTATGGACATCGGCCGCGGGCCAACATGCTTCGTGAATAAAGAATAATTCTATGTGCATAAATCTTGAACTCATCCCTACCCATCACACTCCAACCCGCCCTACCCCACCCCACCCCCACCCAACCCTAACCCAACCCCACTCACTCACTCACTCACTCATTTCACGAGTGTGGCGTCATAAAAACATGACGTCAGTAATTATTTGCCTGTATTGTACTGTTTGTTTCACGAGTGTGGCGTCATATAAACATGACGTCAGTAATTATTTGCCTGTATTGTACTGTTTGTTTCACGAGTGTGGCGTCATATAAACATGACGTCAGTAATTATTTGCCTGTATTGTACTGTTTGTTTCACAAGTGTGGCGTCATATAAACATGACGTCAGTAATTATTTGCCTGTATTGTACTGTTTGTTTCACAAGTGTGGCGTCATATAAACATGACGTCAGTAATTATTTGCCTGTATTGTACTGTTTGTTTCACAAGTGTGGCGTCATATAAACATGACGTCAGTAATTATTTGCCTGTATTGTACTGTTTGTTTCACGAGTGTGGCGTCATATAAACATGACGTCAGTAATTATTTGCCTGTATTGTACTGTATGTTTCAACAAATCAGTAAATGAGCTATCGTGTGACTGGATTATTTTTTTCTGGTCCATCGTTGGATTGCCGGGTTTGATTACATGCGTCCGTCGCATGACAGGAGTAGTGAGTGAGTGAGTGAGTGAGTGAGTATGGTTTTACGCAGCTGTTAGCAATATTCCAGCAATAATACGGCTGTGGACACAAGAAATGGGCTTCACACGTTGTAGTCATTTTAGGAATCGAACCCGGGTCTTCGGCGTGATGGTGATCCTTGCCGTAGTATCGCTGGAATATTGCTAAAGGCGGCGTAAAACCACACTCACTCACTCACTCACTCACTCACTCACTCACTCACTCACTCACTCACTCACTTCGGCGTGACGAGCGAACGCTTTAACCACTGGGCTACCCGAACTCCCCTATGACGGGAATACCTATGTGCGGTATCTGGCAACACAAAATATTTATTTTAATGCAAATTTTGTGCGTGGCTTACTATTTTCGCGAACACATTTTCGCGAACAGTGTCATCACTGATTGTCAGTGGTCCATTCATATAATTTTCACTGCCAGTTTGCCTTTTACGCCGAATGGATTCTGTTTCGTTGGATAATAGAGGTTGGTCCATTCCCTGTCCCTAACGATGCAAAGATGTTTAGTTTGAAAATAAATGTATAAAACCTGAAGTAAGTATATTTCCCTGTGTTGTACAATCATGCACTCATTACGTATTCGTTGCCGTCATCGTCGACGCTGGTGCCGTTACAGCAGACCATTAAGCGTTTCTGTATGTTAAGCTAATTGCCAGCTCTACAATGCGACCGGTGTGGTAGCAGGTGTTACTGTTATCTGTCGTGACGATTTTCTACGTGGATCAAGACATGAATTCAAGTTTCTTAGTTGTTTTATAGCTGTTGATACAATAGCGTGACTTGCTCGGGTAATGAATAGTCCCTCAGAAGTAATCCCATGTAAGTTGGAGGCAGTTTTATATTTACGTCACAATGAACCACGAAGAGTTCAATAAGACACTGGTAACGCGACTGTTGGTGTTTCAGGTGAATGAGGTGAAGGATGGGAAGTTTGGGAGAAGACATGGCGGATAAGCCAGACGATAGCACGGACATACCATTGCAGGGTAAGTCATATATACACATATGCATGTAGACTGTCTCTCTGGTGTGTCAGAGTGGTGTGCAGTGTGTCAGAGTGGTGTGTAAGGTGTCAGAGTGGTGTGTAGGGTGACTGTGTGGTGTTGAGTTGTCTGTGGTAGTGTGTAGAGTGTCTGTGTGGTGTGTAGGGTGTCAGAGTGGTGTGTAGGGTGTCAGAGTGGTGTGTAGGGTGACTGTGTGGTGTTGAGTTGTCTGTGGTGGTGTGTAGAGTGTCTGTGTAGTGTGTAGGGTGTCAGAGTGTTGTGTAGGGTGTCAGAGTGGTGTGTAGGGTGTCAGTGTGGTGTATAGGGTGACAGTGTGGTGTGTAGGGTGTCAGTGTGGTGTGTAGGTTGTCAGTGTGGTGTGAAGGGTGTCAGTGTGGTGTGTAGGGTGACAGTGTGGTGTGTAGGCTGTCTGTGTGGTGTGTAGGGTGTCAGTGTGGTGTGTAGGGTGTCAGTGTGGTGTGTAGGGTGTCAGTGTAGTGTGTAGGCTGTCAGTGTGATGTGTAGGGTGTCAATGTGGTGTGTAGGGTGACAGTGTAGTGTGTAGGGTGTCAGTGTGGTGTGTAGGGTGTCAGTGTGGTGTGTAGGGTGTCAGTGTGGTGTGTAGGGTGTCAGTGTAGTGTGTAGGCTGTCTGTGTGGTGTGTAGGGTGTCAGTGTGGTGTGTAGGGTGTCAGTGTGGTGTGTAGGGTGTCAGTGTGGTGTGTAGGGTGACAGTGTTGTGTGTAGGGTGACAGTGTGGTGTGTAGGCTGTCTGTGTGGTGTGTAGGCTGTCTTTGTGGTGTGTAGGGTGTCAGTGTGGTGTGTGGGCTGTCAGTGTGATGTGTAGGCTGTCAGTTTGGTGTGTAGGCTGTCAGTGTGGTGTGTAGGCGGTCTGTGTGGTGTGTAGGGTGTCAGTGTTGTGTGTAGGCTGTCTGTGTGGTGTGTAGGGTGTCAGTGTGGTGTGTAGGTTGTCAGTGTGGTGTGTAGGGTGTCAGTGTGGTGTGTATGCTGTCTGTGTGGTGTGTAGTCTGTCTGTGTGGTGTGTAGGGTGTCAGTGTGGTGTGTAGGCTGTCAGTGTGGTGTGTAGGCTGTCAGTGTAGTGTGTAGGGTGTCAGTGTGGTGTGTAGGCAGTCAGTGTGGTGTGTAGGGTGTCAATGTGGTGTGTAGGCTGTCTGTGTGGTGTGTAGGTTGTCAGTGTGGTGTGTAGGTTGTCAGTGTGGTGTGTAGGGTGTCAGTGTGATGTTAGGGTGTCTGTGGTGGTGTGTAGGGTGTCTTTGATGGTGTGTAGGGCGTCAGTGTGGTGTTAGGGTGTCTATGGTGGTGTTAGGGTGTTAGTGTGGTGTGTAGGGTGCCTGTGGTGGTGAATAGGCTGTCAGTGTGGTGTGTAGTGTGTCAGAGTGGTGTGTAGGGTGTAAGCGTGGTGGTGTCCATACTTTATATCCATTAGGGCACTGCTCAAACTGTATATCCATTACGGCATTGTTCATATTTTATATCCAATAGGCCACTGTCCATACTTTATATCCATGAGGCCACTGTCCATATTTTATGCCCATTAGGACACTGTTCCTACTTTATATCCATGAGGCCACTGCTTAAACTGTATATCCAATTGGCCACTGTCCATATTTTATATCCATTAGGGTACTGTCCATACTTTATATCCAATAGACCACTGACCATAGGACCCGTGAAGATTCCGGGGTGGAATAGGTCTTCAGCCATCCATGCTTGCCGTAAAAGATGACTATGCTTGTCGAAAAAGGCGACTAACGGGATCGGGTGGTCAGGCTCGCTGACCTGGTTGATGCATGTCATCGATCCCAATTGCGTGGATCGATGCTCATGATTTCAATCACTGGATTGTCTGGTCCAGACTCGATTATTTACAGACCGCCGTTATATAGCTGGAATATTGCTGAGTGCGGCGTTAAACAACAAACCAACCAACCAACCAACTGACCATAGTTTATATCCATTAGGCCATGGTCACACCAATTTAAGCTTAAGGCGTGTGCACAACAAACGCCATGTTTAAAACCGATATCAAACAATTCAATAAGTTTTAACTATGTAAATACATGCGACAAAACCATTTTCATAATCATTAAAAATCTCTGCTAAATGCATAGTCCTTTGTATGAATCCGCCTGTATTACAAACATGTGTTTATGGATCACTATGAAATCACATTTATAAAGAACAAACACTAAGTTAGACATACATGATAAAACCAGAATATCACAGGTTTGTAGCAGGTCATAAAATGACTTGACTCTTACAAAAAATTATAATACATAATACGGGCTATAGATCGCCAGCAATGAAAGTTACTGGACTTACGGTACCTATGCTAACAACACCATCCCTCTATGTGCTGGCGATTGTTGACAGGTTAAGCCGAAAACAAGTCAAGATAAAAAAATAAAATAAAAAGGATACAGGCACAAAAATACTTTGAATGATGTGGTCTTACATGCTCTCTCAGAAAGGCTGGACTGAGGTCATCGTCACTAACCTTGACCCTGAACCCTGCGTGTAGCTTCAACTCCTAACTAGAGATGATCGATTGTCTGCAATGGTGTCAAGCAATAGAGTTAATTTTGCAGTTTAAGTTGTCTACATTGGCCTGTTTCAAATCAATGGGTCTAACGTTGAAGTTATTCTTTGCCGAAGGAAGTTTAGTTTCAAAACACAAGGGGCGTATTCAGTTCACTGTTGAGGGTCAAGGTCACGTTAATCCCGATGTGCATCTAAAATTAACGTGCTTACAGAGACTGCACTTGAACTGTGAATCTTTGTATTGTTGTGAAAAATTCTATATATTGATTCAGTAATGCTGATTACAAACGCAGAAATCAATGTGTTTACCTGTTGCATTCATATTAAATCAGTTGGCTAAGGTCACAGACTCAGTTCTGAAAATAAAATAATTGCAAAGGCTTTTAAACAAAACGATATTTCTATGAGTTAAATATTTCAAACATTTCTCGTAGTTTTTTAAAAATACTTTAGCTGTAATATTTGAAAATCAGACAGCAAAGGTCTCAAGATAAGTCCTTTCGTTAAAAACTGAAATGTAGAATCGTTGCAATATAAAACTATGATCAATTGCAAGTTTCATCACTGCCTTGGTATTTCAGCCTTAACATGCATATAAAGTTAATAACCAAGAACAAGCTTGCAATGTCTCATTTTGTATCATTTTCAGTCTCTAAAACAAATGAACAGTTATAGAATGAACCCACCATGATGGAATTGAATCTTCATTATAGTTTTGTCGTTTTCACCATTATAGGTAATTAATACTAATTATAGCCGTTGGAAGTAATATCTATAGTTTAATATCATTTCACAACATGATATTTTTTTACGAGATTGAGTTCATAGCACTGCATCAAACTTAGTGTAAACACGTTTTTCTTAACTGAACAGATTTTGAAATCCTTGCTAAAATCATTTTCGGAATTTCGAAATAAACTCAGTTACTTAAATCGTTTAACAGGTAATTTAATCCAGATTGAGTCTAGTACGATCTGGTTTCGAGGAAGCCAAGTCCCTGATATGCTGCCAGACTAGCCAGGTTTTCCTGCAGGCGTCGACGAAAGCAAACAGCTAAATCTCTGAGTAGCATGTACCACTTTTCTCTGTTTACCAAACTACCCAACTGAGCGGCGCCTCACGCCTTGAGAAAGCAGGGGGTGAAATAACGGCACAGGGCGTCACAGCGATCTTTATATGTGAATACACTGGCTCAGTTGCCTTTTACTTCGATCTCTTTATTTCTGGCCATTGGACATTGATCCATCGAGTAGCAGATTGGCAAACCGTGTTCGGCGTTTATGGGTGCCTGTATACATCTAGTTAATAGCACTCAGTGCCAATATAATGGATTATCGTCAAACACAATTAATAAGGTAGAAAAGCATCATTAAGTCATTACGTGCCGTGGTTATAGACGACTTGATCCCTTTCATCCAACGATAGCCTTTTCTTGAGCTTCAGTGACTGCTGGCTTCAAGGAGTACTTCGTCTCCTCTTGTACCAAAGCCCAGCGTGATAAAGCATTACGGGGCTGGGTTATCGGATTTTCTTAGTTTAGGTATCCTCTGCTTATGTTATGGTAATATAAGCATATTTGCTTCAATGGTTTATAACATTTATATACAGTGGCTGAAACAATTTGAAACATGTAGCAATCCATATCCTATGGTACCAAGGCTAATATTCAGGGTCAGGGGGTGTCTAATTTGCTTTGCTTTACTTACTTATCCTCTGCTATCTTATGGTAATATAAACATATTTGTTAAAGTGGTTATCTTAGGGTAATATAAACATATTTGTTAAAGTGGCTTATTGCATTTATGTACACTGCTCCAAACTAGTGGAGAATGTAGTAGACTAGTTTATCTTCAATTGTACCAAATGCTAGCATAATAAAGCATGGATGTGTCTGCGTTGCTTAATTACCCTATGCTTATGTTATGAAGCATTGTGATAACATAAGCACATTTGCTTTATTGGCATATTGCCGTTATACCGGAGATTCCAGACTGTAGTCTTCAATGAAATAGTATTCACTGATGTAATGTGTGAATTTAACTTAGCTTGTTGGACTTCTTTGGAAACAGAGCGAGTGAGTTGGGTTTAACGCCGCTTTTAACAGTATTCCAGTTATATCACGGCGTGTCACCTTAATAGGGGAGGAAAGCCTAAAGTGAAGCAGGTCTCAGACGTTTAACACTTCGGTGAAACCCACGAGCATGGGTATAGTGCTGACAAACCTAGAAACATAATCGGGGCGAACCGGGATTCGAACCAACAATCATGGGTTTCTGGCGTGCCCAAGGGACGCAACTCTGCACAGCGAATCGCGGCGCCTTAGACGACTGGGCCACCCGTACACCCCTTTGGAAACAGAAATGCTACCTGTAACAATACTGGCAATAACGTAGACCTGGTAGGGCGTCTCTCCTTTTTGATGAAAGTGTTTCTCTGAAACTAC